TTGGCACATCGAGCATACATTATACATTTAATATTATTATATTTTAAGTATATTAATATTTTTTGCGCACTTGAACAAGGCTTTAGGTCCCCGCTCTAGGAGAAGATAAATGGGCTAAACCCTTACCACCCCACCCATGATTTTTTTGTGTCGGCGCGCCTGTTGTACGTCGAAATATTCAGTCATACAGACCCTCATAACTCAACAGGCATAACAGGTGAGCCATCTATCCGATATTATTGTTTGTAGCTAGTTACAATCGACCATAAGATAATCGATGTATAGATAAAAGATTAAAGTTTAAAATAAGTTCAATACTTTAAATACTTGTGAAGCATCTTTACATATAATGGCAGAATAGATAGAGAGACTGAAATAACAATCCAACAAGCCAGCAAAGTCACAGATCAACTGACCCCCGATTTTGAAAGACCTGGTTATTCCAGTAAACAAAAAAAGACAATGTATAAATGCAGTCTTCATAACCAGCTGTGTGCTGTCAGTGTCAGACTTTGGCATTGACTAAAAAACACGAAAGACAACTGACCACCTGCGAAATGAGATGTTTAAAAAGGGCCGTGAACAAGAAAAAACTAGAAGCGAGAAACAAAGAAATTACAAGAACTATTGGAACAATGCATGCAATTAAATTCATTAAAGCAAAGACTGGAATGGTTTGGTCATTTAATCGCCATAACTCTAATGATGCCAGCAATTGGAGCGTACAACATGAAAGTAGAAACACCAAAAGGTAAGGGACGACCAAAAAGAATATGGATTTAAGGAGTCGCTGATATCTTGAGACTACAATATTACAGCATACTGGGCAACCGAACGTGCCATAGCTCAGCTACCTTTCGTCTGATAACACTCGATGCCTAGCTTTACAGAGCTAAAAATGAACAAAAGAAAGAAGAAGAACCGATTTTAGATGAGTAACACTGCTAACATTTCAAAGACCGCCTTTACTTTCCAGGAAATTTCCTGATGTCCATTTTAGGCTTGGTCATCATGAGAGCTCTAGAATGATTATAAAAAGCCCGTTTCCGATTGACTGAAAGGTAACGAGTGTGGAAGGAAGAGGACGTACATTTGGTGTCTGATAAATGTCATCCTATCTTGCTGGACCTGCTAGCCAATAGTAGATATGGACTGGAACAAAGTGTAATAAAGAATATTAACTGGATATCATCTACGTTACCAACTATGTGCATTCAGAATGTCATCCATGATCTTCTATGAAAAACCCCTAGCAACCAGTCAGCACACCGAGGAGACAATATCCCATGGTGTTTATCGCTCTGTGTGATATCCTGGTGGGGTACAACTACCTACCTACTTACCTTTACAGCTACTATCCATTATTTACGCATATTCGATTGCACTTATTCACGAATAGGTCGCCTTTTGCGACATGCTTGTTAAGGGGCAGGCCCCACCCCTCCCTCCCATATGCGGCCCTGAACCTTCATGATGAACTGTACAAGACTGCATAGCTCTTTTTAATTGCTTTAAAAGAAAGGCTACATACTGAATGAAATCCCTTTTTGTTCCTCACGCCACGATGGCGGGTGTAGATAGACAGCAATCTTTCAGACTTGTAATTTAATTTCCCCATCCTTGATATACCTAGTTTGAACACGACTGGCTGTGTGTTCGTTGGGATTTCGTTTTTTTTTTTGAACTATACAGGTATGAATTTAAATAAATAGTATGTCTTGTTGAGAAGCGCATATAGAGAAGTGGTTAGCGTTTTTGCTTTGGTGGACCTGTAGTTATGTGACCAAATCCACACACTGACTGTGGAGCCTGCCATTCACGCCTGTATTTACAACTTTTCTAGGAGACTGAGGATTTAAGACAACATAAAAAGTGCTGTGCAGGCTGGAATTGTATTTTTGCCCCCAACAGAAAAATTAAATCACTGACCTTATCAAGGATTTCTTCATCTTCGTGTTTTCAGGTCTGATCGGCTTTAAGCTCCAGCGGAAAGTTACGCTTATTCATGGTGTTATTCCAGGATTTAAGTTTTGCGTGCATATCTGTTTAACACATCTCGTTCATTTAAATGCAGATTTTTGGTTCCTTGCCTCTCTGGCAGATGCACTCCGACTTGGAAGGAAACTAACTCCGCAAATTAGTCGTCTTTTACGACACGCTTGATAGGGAGCAGTTGGTCTTTTCTCCCTGTCCCCTCCTCTCTGCCCAGAATGGATCTCTGGAACCCAAGCAAGGATACCGAGGATGTAAATCTCGGTCTTCTGCAAGAGAGCTCAGTGTGTTTAACCGTTCGGCCAGCCCTTGGGGTCACGAACTTAATTCATTCTTTGACTCTGTTCGTGAACCTAAATGTTCGCGAGCAGAAATAATTGTCCCATTAAAATCAATGCAAATCCAATTAATCCCTTTGTCCGTCCCCCCCGCCCCTCCCCCATCCTTTTCCAACCCCTCACCCACAGAAACGCAGGCGCGCGTGTGTGTGTGTGTGTGTGTGTGTGTGTGTGTGGCTTTAATGAATTTATTGGTGAGATAAATATATAATATAAAATACACAATATAACCTCACCTTTGAGGTTGATAGTTACCGGCACACGTAGACTGTAGAGGAGAAGGAGGAGGAGGAAGACCACACCTTTGAGGTTGACAGTTACCGGCACACGTAGACTGTAGAGGAGAAGGAGGAGGAGGAGGAAGACCACACCTTCGAGGTTGATAGTTACCGGCACACTTAGACTGTAGAGGAGAAGAAGGAGGAGGAGGAAGACCACACCTTTGAGGTTGATAGTTACCGGCACAAGTAGACTGTAGAGGAGAAGAAGGAGGAGGAGGAAGACCACACCTTTGAGGTTGATAGTTACCGGCACACGTAGACTGTAGAGGAGAAGAAGGAGGAGGAGGAAGACCACACCTTTGAGGTTGATAGTTACCGGCACACGTAGACTGTAGAGGAGAAGGAGGAGGAGGAAGACCACACCTTTGAGGTTGATAGTTACCGGCACACGTAGACTGTAGAGGAGAAGGAGGAGGAGGAAGACCACACACACCTTCGAGGTTGATAGTTACGGCACACGTAGACTGTAGAGGAGAAGAAGGAGGAGGAGGAAGACCACACCTTTGAGGTTGATAGTTTACCGGCACACGATTTAGACTGTAGAGGAGAAGAGGAGGAGGAGGAAGACCACACCTTTGAGGTTGATAGTTACCGGCACACGTAGACTGTAGAGGAGAAGGAGGAGGAGGAAGACCACACCTTTGAGGTTGATAGTTACCGGCACACGTAGACTGTAGAGAAGGAGAAGGAGGAGGAGGAAGACCACTCCTTTGAGGTTGATAGTTACCGGCACACGTAGACTGTAGAGGAGAAGGAGGAGGAGGAAGACCACACCTTTGAGGTTGATAGTTACCGGCACACGTAGACTGTAGAGGAGAAGGAGGAGGAGGAAGACCACTCCTTCGAGGTTGATAGTTACCGGCACACGTAGACTGTAGAGGAGGAGGAGGAGGAAGACCACACCTTTGAGGTTGATAGTTACCGGCACACGTAGACTGCAGAGAAGGAGAAGGAGGAGGAGGAAGACCACTCCTTTGAGGTTGATAGTTACCGGCACACGTAGACTGTAGAGGAGAAGGAGGAGGAGGAGGAAGACCACACCTTTGAGGTTGATAGTTACCGGCACACGTAGACTGTAGAGAAGAAGAAGGAGGAGGAGGAAGACCACACCTTTGAGGTTGATAGTTACCGGCACACGTAGACTGTAGAGAAGGAGAAGGAGGAGGAGGAAGACCACTCCTTTGAGGTTGATAGTTACCGGCACACGTAGACTGTAGAGAAGGAGAAGGAGGAGGAGGAAGACCACACCTTTGAGGTTGATAGTTACCGGCACACGTAGACTGTAGAGGAGAAGGAGGAGGAGGAAGACCACACCTTCGAGGTTGATAGTTACCGGCACACGTAGACTGTAGAGGAGAAGAAGGAGGAGGAAGACCACACCTTTGAGGTTGATAGTTACCGGCACACGTAGACTGTAGAGGAGAAGGAGGAGGAGGAAGACCACACCTTCGAGTGGCAAGTCTCATTCAGTAAAACATTGGGCATCTGTGTAGATATTTCTGGTATTCTTTCTTTTGTTTGTATCCTGAGAACTGGTTCGACTGCTAGGTCATTGACTAACCATAGGTTTTCTGCTTCTTCTAACACCTGAAACCATTGCTTTCTTTAACACAGGCGCTACTTTACCCACAGCCATCTTTAGCGCATTCCCCTCGTCCCCCCCCCCCTCCCTCTCCCCCCGCGCACTTTTTTGTTAAAGATAGCACAGATCGTAGCTTTAGCCATGTTGTGCTGCTTGGTGAGATCATAAACACGAAAACCAAGATCATGTTTAATTGGTATGGCCTTTTTGTTTCTACTGTAGACCGCTTATGCTTCTTTACAGGACGGTCACTAACACTTTCACATGTCTAAGACCCATAATGAGGGTAAATTTAACGCAAAGAGACAACAAGAATAAAAATGTACCCATAACAACGCAACGAAATAATATTTACTGCATGCAAACCTGAGTACAACTGATGCTATTCATTAGCCTTAAGTATGATGCCAAAGCCATGTTTGTGAGGTATTTGCTCGTGGGTCAAGTCAAAATTTTTTTCGAAAATTGTGTTCGTATACTGATTTATTCGTGACTATAGGCGTTCCTGACTCGAAGTACCACTGGGCTTGGAAAATAACGAATGCACTAATTAGGTCTCTCTTTCCTACATCTGCATAAAATTTATGAACTGGATGTTTTAAAAAAAAGTGATTTATGATGTTTTAAACGGAATACGAGAAGTAAAAGTAGAGATAGAAGTTGTCTAATTAAAACTGAATTATAAAACACGGAATGCGTGAATGTCTGGTGTGTTTTCCAATTCCACAGAGTTATTAGCTAGTCTTACCTTTGGCTAATTGAAATGTTCAGTGTGAACCTATTAAAGCTGTTTCATTTGGCTTTCTGATGCAGAATAACCTGGCCAGCAAGAAGAGGGAGCACCTGAATATTCGGAAAGGTCGAAAACTTCCGGAGCTTTCAGAAAGTTCAGAATTAGAGGATTTAAACGTGCAGTCAACTACGGTAGCGATCAACGGGTCCCATACTTCGGTTACTGAGACCAGTGCAACTAAGATGCCCCAAACGCCTGGGGTAGATGAGAACCCTGATGCAGCACCTAAGCTGCTAGACAACCCCGTGACGCCTAGTATGCCGGATTCGTTTCTGCGGAAACTTGGAGTAGCTGTTTCAATTGGGTCAACTGGTGATATTTTCAGGTCAGTCTATTGCTTGTAGAAGTTACCATCACTTTATGATTATATGCTAGTTAAATGTACTCGATGTTTATAAATGAATGAATAAATGCTTCAAGATTTGACATCGCTGTACTCGAGAAATTCGCACATGTGCTCCGACCCCTTCTTCAGAAGCCAACAAAGAGGCGTAATGCTAATAGTACCAGTTGCAATCTTTAAGTTGGCGTCTGTTTCCCCCTCAGCGTTGAACATCTTCCAGACCCTCTACCAACCTCCCGCCGCCACCCACTGTTGTGCCAATATTTATATAACAGTGTACAGTGTGACTTACTTGTGTTCTATGTTCATAAAATAGTTATATCCATGTATGCTTTATGTTTTATATAACAATTTTAAATAACATGTACTTTGTGCAGATATAATAGTCATACGTGCATGTATTTTATGTTTATTTGCTAGTTCTACATACTTTATCTTCTTCTTCATATTTTTTTTCTGGTTCTTTTTCGTCTTTTTTCTTCTTCTTCTTCTTCTTCTTCTTCTTCTTCTTAGCTTCTTCCTCTCTTCTTCTTCTTCTTGCTTCTTCTTCTTCGTCCTTCCTCTTCTTTCTTTCTTCTTCTTCTTCTTCTTCTTGAACACACAAACTTCTTCTTCTTCCTTCTTCTTTTTTCGCTTCTTCTTCTTCTTTCTTCTTTGCTTCTTCTTCTTCCTTCTGTTCATTTTTATTCTTCTTCTTCTTCTTCTTCTTCTTCTTTCTTCTTCTCTTCCTTCCTTTTTCTTTCCTTTTTCTCTTCTCTTCTTGCTTCTATTCTCTTCTTCTTCTTCTTCTTCTTCTCATCTTCCTCTTCTCTTCTTCTTATTCGTCTTCTTCTTCTTCTTCTTCTTCTTTCTTTTCTCTTCTTCATCTATTTTTTTTCTATTCTTCTTCTTCTGTTTCACTTCCTCACCTCTTACTGCCTTTTTCTCCCCCTCTTACTGCTTTCGAGTGTTGAAGGGAATATAAGGTTCTGCATTTGGCTCTTCTGACCGCCGCGACCTTAGACAGACACATCGTGCTGTTGTAGAGTTTCTCTGATGATATATTTCTTCTTTTGTTCTTTGTCTTGTGATCTACGTCCTTCTTCTCTTTTGGTGTGTCTATCTTGTATGGTATGGCGTTACAAGGCTTTCTGTCTTAAGGAGACAAACCATTTGATTTTCTGTCTGCTAGGGAAATGACAATACAAAAAAATCCTGATTTAACGATACCCTGACCTATAATCACAAATATAGCGATCAGGGCGGAAAGCAGCCATGCTTAGTTGAACGTGGTCACAGTTACAGTGGTAGTAGTATTTGCGTATCCGTTACAAGATGTTGCACAACCAATCCCAGCATTTTTGGCTCTTGTGGTTTTTCTATGCAAATTTTATGTTTAGCAGTTTGCCATTGCTACTAAACGGTCAGCTCTTGGCACCACTATCAAAACAAAGCAAGACAAATCATCCGCAACTAGGATCGAACCCCCGCCTACACTAAGCCGTCTGTTATTACAGTTTTAGCAAGCGACAGTAGCTCTTTTCTCCAATGTAGAAAACGTTAAACCAAATTTGTTATTTGTTAAAAAAACTTTTTTTTGTTTTGGTGTATTGGGCTTTGTTTTTTTGCTTTTTTTTTTGCGTTTTTTTTTTTTTTTGTGTTTTTTTTCTCCTTTTGAAGAAGAATAATGCCTTGTTTCTTTTATTCATGTGTTTCAGAACAAGTGTCAAATCACACAGACACCCCTTCAGGCCACTGAAACAACAAGATAATTAAATTCACGGGATTGTGTGAATTGTCACCCCTCTGACGATGACGTCAGTTGATTGCTAAGTTAACAGGCTTCTCCACCTGTCACCTCTTTCAGGGCGATACCGTGCATTTGAAGGGAAAAATTTAAAACATTTTTTCCACTTAGTGTTCACCGACTCTATACACGGGAAAAAAATTTATCTTAGTTTGTCCACAATATAGCGATGTTGGAAGAGGAGGTCGAGAAGAGGAAGAAGAAGAAGAAGAAGAAGAAGAAGAAGAAGAAGAAGAAAGAAGAAGAAGAAGAAGAAGAAGAAGGAGGGAGGAGGAGAATAATAATAAAAATACCATAATAATAATAATAAAATAAGCAGATGAAGAAGGAGAAGACTAAGAAGAAAGAAGATTGAAAAGAAGAGGCTCTCCAAGAAGAAGAAGAAGAAGAAGAAGAAGAAGAAGAAGAAGAAGAAGAAGAAGAAGAAGAAGAAGAAGAAGAAGAAGAGGAAGAAGAAGAAGAAGAAGAAGAAAAGAAGAGGAAGAAGACGGAAGAAGAAGAAGAAGAAAAAGAAGATAATAAAGAAGAAGAATGAAGAAGGAAGATAAAAGAAGAAGAAGAGAAAAGAAGAGAAGAATAAGAAGAGAAGAAGAGGAAGAAGATTAAGAAGAAGAAGAAGAAGAAGAAAGAACGAAGAAGAAGAAGAAGAAGAAGAAGAAGAAAGAAGAAGAAGGAAGAAGAAGAAGGAAGAAGAAGAAGAAGAAGAAGAAGAAGAAGAAGAAGAAGAAGTAAGAAAGAAGCAGAAGAAGAAGAAGAAGAGAAAAGAAGAAGAAGAGAGAAAAAAGAAGAATAAGAGAAGAAAAAGCAGAGAAGAGAATAAGAATAGAAGAAAGAAGAGAGAAAGATAAAAAGAAGAAGAAGAGAGAAAAGAGAAGAAGAAGAAAAGAAGAAAGAAGAAGAAGAAAGAAGCTAAGAAGAAGAAGAAGAAGAAGAAGAAGAAAGAAGAAGAAGAAGAAGAAGAAAGAAGAAGAAGAAAGAAGAAGAAGAAGAAAAGAAGAAGAAGAAAAGAAGAAGAAGCAAATAAAGAAGAAAAAGAAGAAGAAAAGAATGAAGAGAGAAGATATTCAGTCGTTTCAATTATCTTTACTTGAATAGAGCAGAAGACCAAGAAAGCTAGAACTGTAAGAAGGCTATCATTAGAAAAAAAAAGGGACAAGAAGAAAAGAAAAGAGAATCAAGAACTATTTTCACGAAGAGACACTGGGAATTGGCCACTTTAAAAGAATGAAGAAGAAGAAGAAGAAGAAGGAGAAGAAGAGAGGGGGAAGGGGGGGGAAGGGGGGAAGACTGGAAGGAGAAGAAGTTTAATAAGATATAGAAGAAGAGAAGGGAAACAAAATTTTCATAGTTTGAAGATGTAGGAGAGAGAAAAAGAAGAGAAGAAGAAGAAGAAGAAGAAGAAGAAGAAGAAAGAAGAGAAGAAGAAGAAGAAGAAGAAAGAAGAGAGAAGACAGAAGAAGAAGAAGAGGGAGAAGAAGAAGAAGAAGAGAAGAAGAGAAGAAGAAGAAGAAGAAGAAGAGAGAGAAGAGAGAAGAAGAAGAAGAAGAAGAAGAAGAAGAAGAGAGAAGAAGAAGAAGAAGAAGCAGAAGAGATAAGAAGAAGAGAGAGAGAGAAGAATTAAGAGAAGAAGAAGAAAGAATGAAGAAGATGATTAAGAGGAAGAAGAAAAAGAAGAAGAGAGAAGAATAAGAAGAAGAAGAAATAAGAAGATGAAGAAGAAGAAGAAGAGAAAGAGAAGAAGAAGAAAGAAGAGAGAAGAGAAGAAGAAGAAGATAAAGAAGAAAAGAAGAAGAAGAAGAAAAAGAAGAAGAATATAGAAGAAGAAGAGAAGAAAAGAAGAAGAAGCATAGGAGAGAAGAAGAAGAGAAGAGAGAGAAGAAGAAGAAGAAGAAGAAGAAGAAGAGCAGAAGAAGAAGGAAGAAGGAAGAGAAGAAGAAGATAAGAGAAGAATAAAGAAGAAGAAGAGAAGAAGAGAAGAAGAAAGAAGAAGAAGAAGAAGAAGTAAGAAGAAGATCATGAGAAGAAGAAGAAGAAGAAGAAGAAGAAGTAAGAAGAAGAAGAAGAAGAAGAAAGAATAAGAAGAATAAGAAGACGAGAATAGAAGAAGAAGATAAAAGAAGAAGATAAAGAAGAAAAGAAGAATAATAATAATAGAAGAAGGAAGAAGAAGAGAAGAAAAGCCATAATAAGAATAAGAGAATAAGTATAAGAAAAATCATAATGAAATCATAATAAGAAGAAGAAGAAGAATAAGAATAAGAATAAGAAGATCATAGAAGAAGAAAGAAAGAAGAAAGAAGAATAATAATTATAAGGAATAATAGATAATAATAAGAATAATAATAAGAAGAAAGAAGAAGAAGAAGACGAAGAATGAAGAAAAGTACTAATCAAGAAGAAGAATAATAAGAAAGAAAAAGAAGAAGAAGAATGATTCTTTCTTGATATTCAGTCGTTTCAATTATCTTTACTTGAATGGTGCATATACCTATACAAGCTATAACTGTATATGACAGGCTATCATCAAATAAAGGGACAAGGACAAAAGAAAAGAGATCAATAACTATTTTCATTTTCTACATTGGGAATTGGCCACTTTAAAAGGTGGGTTTAAAATAAGGGTTGGGAGAAAAAAGAGGGGGGGTGGGGGGGGGGGAGACGGAGACGTGTTTAATAATATATAGAAAACGACGTTTCAACCGGCTTAATGTCTTATGTAAAGGGTAAGAGTCGGCGTGTGTGGCTTAGTCGTAGCGAACGCGCTTCGTAATGCTGGGTTACTGGGTTCGATCCCAGCTAAGAACGGTTTCGACAGTGGTACCAAGAGCTGACCCTCCAATGGCAAACTACTGAATGTAAATTTGCCCAAAAAAACCACAACAGCCAAAAAACGATGGAGCTGGTTCCGCAACGTCCTGTAAAAGTTACGCAACTAACTGTTTTTTTTCTTTACAGTTGAAGAATTCCAAGCCTGTGTATCTTGAAAGTAACAGTAAAGGGCACTTTTCCCCACCTTCAGGTATACTGACCATATAGGAGACTAATGGACATATTGACCTAGACCTATATTTTGTCCACGAATCGCCACTTGATGGGTGATGTGATCAACACCACGCCGGCCACCTTTACATCCCATTACTTTATCTGGTACCCATTTAAGGATTGGTCGACATGGGATCCACAAAATTTCGCCAGG